TGACAACTTCCAACAGCATAGCTTGAAACCGGGAATGAAAGCTGGACCCCCCCCCCGGAATATCCATGTACACTAGGCAGCCCTGCTCAATGTTCACCCAAAAGGGGCCAGCCAAAAGATGGTGATCCAAGGAAATGCAGCAGGGTGGCCATTAGGACCAACACGAAAAGCAGAAATCACAATTTCCCCCAAGAAACACGCAAACAGGGGTCACCACAATTCCCCAAGTTCCAGTTTTCTCCTGTCCCTGATCCTTCTCCGTCCCCCCCAAGAAAAAAGAAAAGAAACGGCAAAAGGGGGCGCCCTGAAATTCGTGGCTTGGATTGGTACGCAAATTGGCGTGTTTCCATTTAACCTCAACATCCAGGGCTCAAATCCCCACCAAGCCGAACCGCGAAATACGGCTTTCCTGTCAAAAAAAAGACGCTCCCCCCCGAACAAAAATCAGCAAACCAAGTTGGGCATCGCCCCCTGGAAATCGCAGGATCGATCCCTGGAGTGGCATTCCTGCAAGTCTCCTGACGGATTCGTCCTTTCGGCCCGCCCGCCCCCCCCCCCCCCCGACCAAGAAAGGACGAAATCGCAAACCATGGAAGCCAAAATAACGCCCGTGTCTTCCTTCCATCTGCTGTTAAAGTCCCCTGGAGGAAAAAACTTCCACTCCCGCGAGTTCCTTCCACTCCAGGGGAAAATAAGCAAATGGCGAGAAATGGAAAGCAAAAGGACACCACACGAAAGCCAAAAGGTTGGTGAGCAACACATCAGCCGGTGCAGCAAGCGCTTTTTGCTTTCCCCTCTGGGTGCTGGAAGATCACGTGGCAGCTTCTTTTTGCTGGGCGCATCTGCAGAGCCACGGGGAAAAGCACCAAGCTGACCTGAGGAATGCTTAACTTTCATCATTGGTGACCAGGGTTGTCGGAAGGGCCCGGTCCAAGACAAAATAGGGACCTGGAGCCTCCATGACCCTTCAAACATGGGGGTCACTACCAAAAATAATGGGGTCATTGACCCTTTTTTTACGGGTCATGTTGAAGGGCCATGCCTCTGATCAGCATCAAGCCGAAGCATAAATCCGATCTTGACCATCCCTGCAATGTGCCTGGTGCATATGTTTGCCGCCTTCTGCGGGCCCAGGATCGAGGAGAATCCCCCCCGGCAGTTTTTGGGGATGCGCTACTAGGTCCTCCAGATTTGAGAGGTTGGAATAAGTTGCTACCCGATTGTTTTTTCTGTAGTCTATTTTAGTAGGGCAACCCTCCCCAACAAAAGGGTAAAGGGCAGTACTGGGGGACCTCGGCTAAAATGTGAGGGGATCAACGTCACTATTGGGTTACCCGGAACCTGGCTCAAATCCGCTGGGTATAACGCAGCTGCCACCCAAACACTCCTGGCTTCGGCTTCCATTGGACACCTCAGAGGGGTTGTGGGGGTCTCAACCTGGCTGTTTTAGGGCCCTAAATAAATAGGAAGCGTCTGGGTAATGGAAGCCTCTGCCAATTAACGTTCAGCCAACTGTGAGCACGGCTGTAAGGAAGCTAAGCCCGGATGATATGCCTTATAAAAAACCATGCGCATATGCTACTTACTACGTGGCTTGAAAAACATATGCGAAGAAACTCAGATCACATTTGCCGTGGCCTTCGCAACTGCGAAACCCCTCGCCCTGCTGAATTTATGTCTGCCACCACGAGTTGTTCGTGATTCATCGAGATTCAGCCCGTAAGCGTACGAAGGACGTGGATCCGGGCGGATTGTGGCCTGTGTGAACAAGAGAGAACATCTTGCCGCGGAAACTCTTCGGTTTTCTACCTGATTGCTAGAATCCAAAGAACCAGCCTCCACTTCCCAAATAACAATCGCGTCATTTCAGAACTACTGGTAGCTACGGGGGTAGCTCCCTCTTTAAAAGCAGATTTGGATACCCCAACTTCGAGTCCGACTCCTTCCAACCACCAGCCAATTCGTAACGGGTTCCATGACCAAATCTGGCAATAGTACCCTTCAACCCTTCTTGGTTGACGTTGGAAGGGGAGCAAAAGATTAGACTGGTGCACACCCATGTGACATCAGCAATCATTATATAGACCATTCCGCACACACACACACAATCCAGTGATAGATCCCCAAAGCCAACCAGGGAAATAAAACATCTTGACAGAAAGGGTTTTTCCGCCCGCCCCCCGGCCAATTCCAAATTGCTTGAATGGAAGTTGGGGGCCTCCAAACGGGCTTAATGTTTTTTGCTTGGGGGGGGCGGTCCAGGTGCTTTCGCCGATTTGCTTGTTCCTTTCGTTTACTAGATAAAAAGAGACTCCTGAGCAACAGGCTCCCATCAAATGCAATAAAACAGTACCGAGTGCTTTCCGCCTGTTGGCTTCTGGCTCTGACTTTAGCACTCACGAATCACCTTGAAGCCTTCAGATTAATCCGAAGTGAGCACTTCCTGGGTAGCATAAGGCGCTAAATCAAATCGGGGTTGGGGTACCACAAAACCAAAGTGACGTCATGATCATGAGAAAACTTCACGTCTTCTCCCAAGATCCGAACGCCTTCGTCTCATCCCCGCGTGGCCGTCTTCGCCAGGCCTTTTGGCCGACTCAGCCAAAGTCAAAGTCCCGCCTCCGAATGAAAAGCTCTCCCTCTTGGTTGACGTTGGAAGGGGAGCAACAATTTCAGTTTTAGCAGTTAGGTGGTTGGATTTCAACCACTCAACCACAATAAGCAAAAAAAAGTAAAACATGTTTCAACCAACAACCATGAAGATGATGTCCTATCGGCGCGAAGACCCTCACGTGTTGCGCCCAGTGTTCTCATCTTGAGAAACCCCCATGTCTGGATGTACTGGACAGTGCTGAGACCTTGGCAAGTCAAAGGCCAAAAAAAACTGGCACGCCTTTCAAGACGCTCTGATCTCGCGCGTCATGGTCCGCGTGTGTGCGGCGTGGCAGATGGAGAAAGCGGCCAGAGGGGCCAACCACCCCAAAGGCAAAAGCTAAAATACCGAAAACGGCAGGTGCGGCTTGAATCACCGCAAATCTTCAAAGCACTGGTCAAAACCACAAGGTTCCGCCATGGCTTCTTTCTCGTAGTTCCTGTAAATATTCAGCGTTAGCTTTAGAACCTCGACCAAAATAGGCTAAAAGGTCGATTCCAGGGATGGGATCTCTGACTTTGCACCAGGGGCCACAAAAGGAAGGTTGCTTGGCACCAGAAAGGGTACTCCGAAAACACCAAACAAACAAACGGGCTTTGTTTCATATTTTATTACAACATAGTTGCAGGAGACCCCAAGGTTTGCCGCGGGGGCAATGTCTTGTACCCTACCCGTTGCGTGTTGGGAAAAAATCGCAGGCTCTTTCTTGGCCCGAGCATTGGTGCCCTCAAACAAAGAGACACCCAAATTGGGGTGTATTTTGTGTTTGCTTTGTTTTTTTGGGGGGGAGCCAAAATGGTGGTTTCCTGTTTGATTTCCCTCTTAAACCACCCAAACAAGAGTTCCATCAAAAAACAGACACACCTAAACTTGTTTGTCGGTTTTCTCTCCGAAAAGGAAAGCGCGAGCAATTGCAGAAGTGGTACGGCGGAAGTGGTACGGCGGATGCCCTAAATATTGCAAATAGGGAACAAGGACACCCAATGCACGGCGATTTAACTGAACATGGGGCAGCATCAATCTGTTTAATTAAACCCACTTTGGCCCAAGTGATGTTTGAAATGGAACCCCTGAGACGCACGCCCACTAGTTTGAAAGACAATCCAAAATGGAAAAGTCCAACTAACTAGATGTTTCTGCCAGAAGCATTGGAAGGGCGCTCATTTCCATTTAGCCACCATCTGAGAGGGTTGTTTGGAGCAACTTTGAGGTTGTCTACCTCATTTTTGTAGGGGTTGATTCCCCATTCTTTTCAACCTTTAAAGCCGGCTGTTTCCCCCGGGTTCTGATGGTTTTCTGGAAAGAAGGATCCCTGGAAAGAATGGACATGGAAGTGTCCCCTAGAATTCTTTGCTTCACGTTTCCTCCATCCACACTCGCCCCAGGCCTAACCTGAGCATGGCTCAGTCGGCAAGTTCGACGGTCTGGGTCCAAGGACTCTGCAGGGAGCACTCGTGAGGTTCGCCTTTTGTTTGCTTCAATGGCATTAAGCAAATTGAGCCAGCCAAAACCAAACCCTCAGAGTTACCTTTTTACATGGCTGCTTCGAGGGAAACCACCAGAAGAATTGATTCCATCAAAATGCGACCACTTCAATGGCTTAGTCAACGGTCAATATATTGATGGTTCACCATTTTGACCAAAGTTGGGCAAAGATGTCCTGCATTGTCCCAGATGTTTGGCCCAAATGTACCCTCCCGAACACACATATATGGAACCTGCAAAGGAGTTCTCCGTTTGATGGTGTGTGTGTGTGTGCGCTGCTTCAATGTTTGTTTCTTGGGAGGGCAACTGGATTTCTCCTAAAGCTGCGATTGACTGGCTGGCTTTTTCCAATTGAACCGGCCACTTGAGTCAAAATCAAAAGCCGGCATTAAGATAGAGCGGTCGAAGCCATTTCTGGCTGGGCACCCTATTACCCTTCATCCACCCGGGTTTTGAGCAAGTGGCTCACTTGAGATTCCAAGGGAAACATCTAGAGGTAGGGGAAAGATCTACCTGGACCCTCAAACTACCCTTACAAATCTGTCATTGCCCCAAGACTATGGGGTGATTTTCCTTAAGGGCAGTTTCTTCGGGTGCAGGTTCCCGAATCGAATTTCAGCCAGTGGCTCACTTCCAACAATGCCTGAGTAGATTGACCCAAGAAAGTACCCGAACTGTTTGACAACTAGAACGGCAACCAAGCCCGAAAAGTGCGCAGGATGAGCTACGGTACCTGGGCCCGAAAGAACTACCCAAGGGAATCCGCCCAGAATCTTGTGTGAGCCAAGTTGGTTTTTGCGAATCCCTCGACCCAGATGCTTCGGAGACCTTCGCTCGCTCGCCCCCGCCCGGTCGCCCGGTCTCAGTGGATGTGGCGTTTGCCCCGCAGCATCTCTGCGAGTTCCGTGCAAGCCGCCCCTCGAAATCTCGAAAGCAACCCTTGGTTGCTGCTGACCCTGCAAAAAAGTGAGATTCACTTTTTGCGGTTGTTGGGGGGGTTAGTTCGGAAAACCCAACTTGATTTCAACCAAAAAGCTAAAGTCAAAAGATCCAACCCAATAGCAATCAAGAGCCCCCGCCCAGAGGCTCCAATTCGATTGATTTAGGGCCCTCAAACAGCCAGGGCGTGAGGCCCCAAAACCCCTGAGTCGGGTGTCCAATGGAGGGTCTGGGTCTCCCCTTGGAAGCCGAAGCCGATCGGAGCGTCTGGGCGAGACACTTGCTGCTTCGATAGGCTCGTGCTGAATAGGTCGATCGATTCGGTACGCCGGGGTTCTCCAAGGGCGGGGCCCGTAAAGCTCCCCAACGAACCCTACGGAACCGAAAGGAACCCTAAAGAACACTGCTTCAAGGGGCGGGGGTCTTGGTAAGTGGACAAGAACCCAGCTGGTCATAAGTCTCCATTCAGTGTTTGTTGGTTTAACCAGGCTTACTAACCACGTACCTGCTGTACCCGATCGCCCCTTTGGTGCTTTCAATCGAAGACCCAAACCCCGAAGCATTGGACACCCCGCGCCACGGGGTTTGCGGCACCTCGCGGTTTGAGGGCCCCAAACAAACTCGAGAGCCTCGTGGTTCGATAGGGGAATGAGAAATGGAACCCCGAGAAACACCATCTATTCGATTTGGTTTCCTTGAAGGGAATCCCTGCCGGTTCATTCTCAACACCCAGAACAGTCATTCAGGCAAGGAAAGCAACCCTGGAGGAACCGGCGCAGAATCGATTTGAATGGGTACCCAAAAAATTGGCAAATGGGCTTCTTGTTGGCTTGAAAAAACCCTTGAATATCAACATATATTCGCGCAGGTCCACCAGTTTTTAGAACCGCCCTAAAGGTTGGACTCCTTCTGGTGAAAATCAGGCGAGACGCCGAGCCATAGCGAAAAGGAATCCGCAGCCATGATCAGTACACAAACATTAGGGGCAAATATATATATATATATATAAATACACACACATATATATATATACACATACATATGTATATATATATATATTTACGTATGTATATATATATAATGTTTATTTGCTTATTTGCTTGTATATATGTATACTGCTCGCGCTGCATTTGCTAAAGTGTCAGTTCCCATCCATGGAACAAACAATTTTCACCAGCCTTTGTCAGGTTTCACCTGAGCTTGGTGGGGAAACCACGACAAAACATGTGATATTTTCCATTTGGGCACTCAACACGTGGGTTTGTCCCAAAATTGCGGACCCCCCCAAGTGGTTGTCTGTTGCTTTGCCTAAAGCCACCAACCAAAAGGGGACCATCTAGACAACCCCCGTGGCGCGGCTTCAATTTGCAGCCGGGGCGCTGCTCTGGGCTCGCTCATGCAAGTAGCGCTGCTGTTCGGTGGCCAGGCGGAAGCACAGAAAGCCCAAGAAGCTCACGGCCAAAGCGAACCTACCGCGGAAAACGCCCAAAGCCCGGCAGGTGGCTACTTGAAGCTTGTGGCTGCTTGTTTCTATTTATTCATATATGTTTTTTTTGGGGGGGCAAATGGAAGCAAGAGGTAAACGAGCTTTTGAGTGAAGGGTTGGCATCATCTTAGTTCCTGAGTGGATTGGCAAACACAAAACTCAATTTTTGTTTGCCACTAATATGTGGTTTGATATACCTGCCTTCGGCGGGTATTTGGGCGCGTTGTCGGGGCCGCGGTTGATGCCAGCATATGCGACTTTAGTGGGTCAACAAAAAGGTCCGAACTGCGTGCTTGCCATTAAAAAATGGTCCAAACCCAAAAATGTAAAAACAAAATCCATGGACTCAGGGAGTGAGCTAGGGTGGCCCCAAAGAACTACCCAGAAAGATCATCCGACCATCATTTTGGTTGGCCATAGTTTGCAGCTAAGAAGTACCCTGAAGAAAGTCGAATCCAACTAAGAATGCTGGTTGGCAGTAACCCATTTTTAGCGCTAGTTTGACACTCAGGGTCAGGCAGATGCATCGATCCCATATGAGAACATGGAACCCCCCTGAGGGTATCAGGTCAACCCTTTACTAAAAAAAGGTTTGGTATTATCCTGGAAAGCCGGTAAGTTTCCCCAGAGAAAAGCCAAAAACAAAAGCGGGAGGGTTCGTCCGCGCTCGAAGCTCTGGAGACCCGAGTGTGGATCGACCGATGGCTCGAACCCCCCGGATCCCCCGAACTTTTGCCAAGCCGCACTAAGAAGATCATCACCGCCCTCGGGGCAACTCTCACGCCCACGAAAAACAGGTAAGCCAGAAAAATGGTAAGCCAGAACCCCGCAAACCACCCAAACACATGGGCTTGCCCAAACTTATGGTTGGTGGTCTCCCTTTATGGGTAGTTTGAGGGTCCAGGTTGCTTGGGTCTACATGCCCAAGGAAGTGATACGCACCTGGAATGGCAAGACCTGGAATTGCCTTAGGGGAAGCCGCAGAAGGAAGGTTCTTTGAATAATGCCTCCAGTTTTGTCGGTCGGCCCGATCGGAGTGGTGTTCATCATGAGGCTTGCCCCTGCCTCCAAATACCCTAGCTCTGTTTAGCTGGTATCATGTCAACCCTTTGCTAGAAATCCATAAACCCAAGCTTCCCCAAACAATACCCTCAAAAAGAGGGCAAATACACTTACTGGATAGAAAGACCCCCGAGAGGGTGACACAATTTGTAGGTTGTCACTCCTCCAAATGGCTACTATAGGCCCAACCACCTTTTGAGTCACAGTCAAGGCTTGGGTGTTCAATTTGCCAAGTTAATAAGTTGTCGGCAACTGATAGCCCATTCAAATAAGTGCCTGGGATTCACCGTGTTAGCGGGCAACAAAACCAGGTGGCGTTTTCGGCTCTTACTAACTTGGCGTTCCGCGAGTCCAAGTAATGTCACTCACTAACCTTCACTCACCGGCGAACCCAGGAGCCACTTAGTAGATTAAGTTCATATTTGATGCAAAAGCCGGATTTGGAAACCCTAGACTGGTGGCTTTCCTTCTGGTTTCCCTTCGAGCCAAAACGGCACCCTCAAACGTAAGCGAACAAAAACATGAACAGTCCCACAAATGGTGGGGGGCAATGCCAAAAACCACCGCAAAACTACAGGTTAGACGCTCGAGGTCCAAAGAATCCGATGGCCCGAGGTACCAGCTGAGTGCATAAAACCCATGTGGGTCAAACATGATCCAAACAGTTCTGAGGGTTTGCATCACCCGTACCCTCATACCAAAAGTGCTGGTCTTGCTGTTTTCTTGAAGGCCCATGAGACTCGGTGTTGGGCTCATGCCGCTTTAAAGCCAAGATTCCCCTTGCGCTCGGCATCCGTGTCCATCGACAACGCCATTTTTTTCGCGGTTCCAGGCGCGATGGATTCGAACCACTGCGATCGAAGGGACCCAGCCGAAGGCAAGTACCGGCGGAGCGGGCGAGCGATCCACAAGTCGCTCGACTGTGCGGATCGCTGGGGCCAGCCCTGTCTGAAGCTTGTGCCAAGATTTCGTCAGCTTGTCCTGCCTTCTTAGTGCCTGCAGCTGCCAAACATTGGCGGTCATTCTGGCTTCAAGGTGAAACTGAGATTGCTTGCATTCCGCACTGTTGCGTGACATTGTCATGGTTTGATGGCCCCCTATTTGAGCCAGGCAGGCAGAGAAAACGCAATCTCTGAAGGACTTGGTCCAATCCCACACACTCCATGTGTACAATAATTCTAGGGTTTGATTCCCCTTTCTTTTCAACCATCGTTCTTTTTAAAAACCGATCGCCGTTTTCAACCTGCTTTTTTGGTGGTTTTCTGAAGAGGCTCCCGGGTCTTTAAATGGAAGACCTGACCCCTCCATTAGACACCCCGGAGGTGGTTGGGGGTCTCAAGACCAGGTTGATTGAAAACCCTAAATCAATCGGGAGCCTCTGGGACAAAGGAAAAACTCCCAGAACAAAAAGGCCAAAGTCCCTCTTGTCAAACGGGCCTTTCGCTCTGTTGCAAACGGGAAACCCAAACAACCAAAAAGTAACAAACACACCGAACCACATGGCCATGCGACGGGAGACACACCCAAACAACAAAAGTAACACATACTCCGAAGCACATGGAAGCAAGACACGCCCCATGCGACCAAGTCGAGCAATTGCAAGCTGAGCTGCCCGGCCGGGCCCAGAAAGACGCGCTCCCCGACACTGACGCCTGGGAACTCATGGGAATCCGGGTCCATCGCTCAACTCAGAAAACTGAGTTGGAGGACTCCATCCAGCAGCACCCAATACAGATCTGCCCTACTCAAGTCCAAAAAGCCACCAATCAGCTCCATGATGGCCAGGAATCAAAACAAACTTCGATTGGATCAACTGCGTGTGGCTCAGAATGAAAGGCTTAGGGTTAAACTTGGTTGACGTTGGGTGGGGACAAACAAAATTCCTATTTTAGCAGTTAAGTGGTTGGATTTCAACCACTAAACTTCACTAAACCACAATAAGCAAAAATGTAAAATGTTGTAAAATGTTTCCCAACAACCATGAAGGTTACGCAGGTTTAAGTCTTTGGTTCCACTTACCAAGGCTTTTCAAGCTGCGATTTTGGCACGAGCCACGGCCAAAAGGACTGGCCCAAAAGAGACTACCTGGACCCGCAGAAAACAAAAACCATGCAGAATAGGTTATTGTTGCCCCCCAATTATGGGGTGATGTCCCATTGTTTAAGGGTAGTTCCAGGATCCAGGTAAACCTTTTGCTTGCCACTAAAGTTGGCTCTCAAAACCAGTGGATCCATGTATCGGTATAGGAGGTAACCGAGGGAACCACCCAGTAAAAACCAACAGGATAACAGCTGGTTGCCTACTATAGGGAACTGAGATCCATTTGGAAAGAGTAGAAAGTCCAAGAACTCGCGCACTGAGAAAACGGTCCTGGCTTTTTGCTGACCAAACAGGGATCCTTACATTATACACCTGAACATTGCAACTTGTAAATGGTTGTCTCCCTTTATTTTGGTGTTGAAAAACAACATGTTTCAAATGGTCGCAAAATGCTAATCTTTCAAGGAGCCCTGCCAAAGCCCCCGAGTTTCGGCAAAAAAAACACGCCCAAAAACCCCCCCCCCCAACCGGCCCGCCCGCCCGAGCTCGTGTGGCTTCTGAATCGAAGGAACAGCCCTCATGGGCCATGGCTTTCTGAATCGGGCGTTTGAGGGCCGAAAGTCCGAACTGCTCGCGACTCGCAAGCTTGCTCAAAACCGGCGATTATACTTTTTCAGTTGGTATCATGTGGACCCTCTACTAAAAAAAGGATCCGTATTTACCATGGAAAACCAGGTGAAAAAAGCGATGGTATGTGGAGTAGGGGGTAATCCAAACCCGGTATTAAACTGGTCGTAATCCCAGAGCCATGCTTCAAGAATTTAGAAGGCGGATATCCGCAGCTATTTCTGGTGATCGTCCCTAACCTTCATCTACCCGGGTTTTGATTGTGACTCACTCAGGTGACCAACTTCTCTGGCTTTGTTCATCCGATCACCCAACTTCAAAACGATACCAGCCTGAGTCAGAATCAATCCTGATACAGCCTACCCAGAATTGGGAGAGAATCAATGTAGGCCGGGCGCAGGTATTGCTTTGGGCTGTATCATCAGATAGGGAACCCCAAGACTGGCTTCGATATTCCTTTTGATTAACAAGGGTCCGCTTAAAAAGACACACACACACACAACTGACTTTCTGGAGGGCTGTGTGGAAAACCACCACGGAACTTCCGGAACACCTCTAAACCACCCGGCTCCCTTTGCCAACCAGAGAGCTACGAATTGATATCTGGCGCTTTCCACTGTGCACAGCTCTCGCCTGGCGCTGGAATGTTGTCAAGTGAGAAGCTGGGGTTGTGTCCCTTCAACCTTCTATTGGGGGGGGGGGGGATTTAGTACTGGGGCCGGTTTACCTTTGACCCCCCCCCCTCCCTCCCCCCTGTGGGAAAAGTGGGAATACCCATGGTTCCAATGACGTACCTTAAACATGGGTTGTTGCAACCCACAATTTTCTGGCTGGTGATTTCAACCATTTGTTTGTATAGTTGGTAGCTTCTCCGGGTACCAAAACGATGGGCCCTTTGAGTAGACCAAGGGCACCTTGCGTTGGCGTCGCTGGGCCGCCGCGCGGGTGAAGGTCTGCACCTCTGTCCACTCTTCACCAGCCTGACGCTCAGTGGGCCAGGGCTTGTCCGCAGATCTCACCAGTTCAGCTACCCCCACTCTTTAGGGGGGGGGCGGTGGGTTGGTTGGTTGGTTGGTTGGTGGGGATCCTGCCCCTTGGGCGCAACCAGGAAAAGAGAGAAAGATGGAGAGAGAGATAGAGAGAGAAACCTGAAACACAAGCCTTCCATGAGAGAAAGAGAGATAGAGATAGATAATGTTAAGCTACCTTTGGTAGTTGGATTGGTGTTCTTTCGAAACCGAATAGGGAAGGTAGCCCCAAACCACCAACAGTGGCTTGGGCAAAATTGCGGCTCCAAAAGCTGTTTCTTCTTACGAGTAGAATGGTTCCCAACAACAAGACACATTAAGACGTGTATATATATATACACATATACATTTGGCGTCCACAAACTTAGGAAGTGAGGAACTGCCCTGCTTCCAGTAGTGATAAATTCCCTTCAAAACCAACCAGGGAATCTAGCACATATCCTTCCCAAAGGCTCCTGAAGCTTTCAATGGAAGACCCGACCCCTCATACGACACGCCGCTTCGGTGGTTGGGGCCTCAAAGACAAGGTTGTAAGGCCCTAAATGAATGGAATTGGAGCCTCTGGGTTAAGCAAATGGAAGGCACATCACCATTGGGCGCCATGGAGTTGGCTTCAAAGGTGGTTTCGGCCAAACAATCTGGCCACTCACCCCTACGGTTTCAGGAGGTTGACCTCATATGAATTTCAACCAAGGAGTTTTTATTGATAGGGGTGCGGTTTTTGGCCCCTCCAAACCCAGGGACTAACACACTGGGGTTGACCAATATGAGGTCAACAGTTATGTTCCTGGGCTTTGGGTCGTTGGGAAACCCAAAAACCGGGAGAACCCTCCCGGGCTAAGCAGGCAACGCAAGCGCCATATTGCAAGTAGCGTCACAAACAACGGATTCCCGGAGTTACCTGTGGATGGCTTTGCATTTTGTTCTCTTCCGCACTGTTTGCCTATTTGCAACATGGTAGATTTGCCGTGTGCTCTCCTCAGGCCTACTTGCACATGTTTGTAGGCAATCTGCAAAGCTTACTATAATTCCAAAAGCTGCTGTCACACGGTTGCTTTCTGCTCCCCTGCTAAAAGTTTAACTTTTAGTGGTTCAATGGAAAAACCTATTAGTTGGTAAAAAGTTAAAGTCCTAACATCCAAGCAAAATGCACCAAAGGTCAGAAATGGATCCCCAAGCAAAGGACCTAAACTTATCCTGGCTTTCGCTGGTCGGTATTTACCATGGAAAACCATTCTCGGTTTTCCCCCAAAATACCAACTGAAACCAGCGGTTATTTTGAGGTTACGGGGGTGGGCAGAGGTGAGTTTAATGGCTATCCATTTGGCGCTTTGCGACTCCTGGCCGAACTGGGCGCGCGGCCCAGCGGTCCAGGCGAACCGTGGGCGTGCCTCGGGGCAAAAAGCCGGGCGCAGCACACAGCCGGGCGCCCCGAGGGCTCTGCAAAGACCCGCGGCTTTTTTTTGGTTGGAACAGGGACTCTGCAAACCCTTTTCTTTGGTTAAGCCACCAAAAGACAAAATGAGCAAATATTTCCAGTGATAAATCCCCTTTAAACCAACGGGAGAAAATGAGAGAGACTGTGCAAGGACGAAATGCAATTCGCACCACTTGGAAAGCGTGGGGAATCATTGTTTTTTGGTATGTACGGGGGAATCGTCATTCGAGGGCGCCTTAGATGGTGCAGGATGTTGTCCGCAGTATCATGCCAACACTCTACACACAATGGAAGCATTTACCCATGGAAGACCATGTGTTTCTTCAAAACATATCTTAAACCTCAGATATTTGAAGTAGGGACTCCAAATACCAACATGTCCTTCAGTCAGGAGTTGACATTGTATGAGGGGTCCCTACTTGGAGCCTCGTTCGGCCAAGTTGGTATGAACGCCTCGGGTTATAACCTCCTCACAGGATTGCTCCCACTTCGGGGGACAAAATGCCAACAACTTCATAACTTGGCAAGACAACCCACGCATGAAAGAAACCTTCACGAGCGCCGTTGCAAACCCAGAAGCATGGCGTCGTTATCATTTGCCCAAATAGGTTAACCTTTGGGAATGACAACAAAACGGAGCGTGCAAAACCCATGGCGTTGTTACAGGTTAAAACGTTGGGATGCTGAATTTCAAGTTCCCTCTGGGTGGTTTGGCGGAATGGCGTCCCATTCACCCGGGAAGAAACAAAAAGCACAGAGGTTCAACACCCCAAAGCAGCAAGTCCGAAACGGAACGCGGGAACTTGAGCTCTGAGTTTGAATGTGTGTTTCCGTCCTTGGAACTTCGGAGCGCTGCTGCGATGCAAAGGGAGGCCTTCCTTAATCCGCGATTTGCTTGGTGCCGATTTCGGCAGGGAATGCGAAATGAAAGGAGCCCGAGAAAAACCATCTCGTGCTGGTGGTTTCATTCAACCTTCCCTGAGCACCAGCAAGTTTGCCAATCCCAAGCTGCCAATGATGCCGTTTAAGGCGTGCGTCGTTGGGCAAGCGATCGGTCTTTCAGGCGAAATACCTCCCTTTCTTGCTCTTACTGGGCTCCTGGGTGTGGGGGGGAGGAGGTTCGTGGTTGGGTAACACAAGGGCGAAGACAATTCCGAACAGCTTACTGCTGTGATCATGAACTGCAAATGAGTTTCTTCAATTACCCCCCCACCACATTCGATAAATATGTCGGCCCTGGCCTCGTATGGGTTGAACCTCCCCACCGGTGGACGTGCCATGGCAACGCGGTCGAACCCCCATGATCTGCCGTCATTTGCCCTTTACCCCCGACAGCTCCCCAAATACCCGTTGTTTTCACGGTACTTGTTGGAAAGCAACATGACTTTCCGTGGTAGATACCTCCTGGTTTAGTAGAGGGCTGACATGGTGCCAACAAAAAAACACGAAAAAGTGGGAGTGTCGTTTTTAGGCGAGTGTTGGTTTCCGGTTGCTTCCCTTTCAAACCAACCAAAAAGGGGTATCAAAAAACGACGCTCCCATGACTCCCATGTGGAGCTTTCAGGGGTTCCGATCGGCACGGAGAAAGCCTAGGGCTCACGCTATAGAGCTCCTCCTGCGACTGGGTGATCTCTACACACGCCACCTCGACCGGGCAACCGCTCAGGCACCAACCATGGATGGGGATGGGTAATGATGGATAAAAAGTTGAGATGAGTTGCGTTGCGTGTATGCATCGGTAGAAATTTGAGGTGAGTTTATGCATCTAAGTCGACCTGAGAGGATTGGGTGTGTCTTGAGGCGACCTGACTTTTTGGTGGAAAAGGGGAAACCAAAAGCCGAAAGTCCAGGACCCTCAAAGGACCGCTCCATGGCTTCGGATGGGCTTTCGGAGTCCTGAGAGAGAACCGAAACCTTTGCAAGACAGTTGGTTCTCTCTGCGCAACCATGCATACTCGGGGCTAAAAACCACTTGGGTCATGTTGTTGCGCGAGGAAAAACAAGTGAGAAACGGAGAACAACATAGTTGTGTGTTGTTCGTTCTTTCTTTGATGTCCGATACACCTGCAAAGGCAAAGAAACAAACTGACAGGCAGGCAAATAAATAAACAAGAGCCGCTGTTTGGTGTTTGTCTGCGAGGCATCTGCAAATATGTCCAGTGTGGATTTGCTTGTTTGCACAAGAGTATATGCTCGGAACTAGCTTAGCCGCGGCACGTAGCAAGTTCTGTCGCTTAGAACCGGAAGGCCACAAAAAGATTTGGGTGTGTCTTGCTTTACGGGGGGGCCATGGTTGATTTCTTTTGACCTTCCTTTTTTCACCAACCCCAAAGGACTTACGTCTTTTACGTCTTTAGTAGCATCATGATAGAAAGCTCAGACGGTACCAACCCTTCACCCCAAACCTTTATCCCGAAAAGGGCACCTGCACTCGAAGAAGCTACAGTAGAAAAACAAGGAGTTCAGCAATATGCCCCATTTGTAAGGGTAGGTAGGCCTCCAAGTGGTTTGGATTGGAGGTTTGGGGGTACTTCCTATTTACCAACCCCCAAGCCGCCAAGTAAGGGGTAACCTGAAGGGTAGTTGGAAGGAAGGTACCACCTCTCGTGACAACCTAACCACCTATCCAAACCAAGCACGGGAAATCTGATAGTTTGCAGGCGCCAAACACAAAATCCAGGGCTTGAAATCCCAAACGCCCTAATCACCCAACCTCACCAATCCAACCCGCCAAGTAGAGGGAACCTGACTTTTTTTTATTGGTACTTTGATGCCCCAAGCACCAAACCATAAGCGCCCCCAAACCCAATCTCCTTTCGAACCCTCCCTGAAAGCTGCCCCAACCAACCAGAGCCGAATTCTGGGCAGAAACCAATCTATGCCATGGATGGACGAAATTCTGCACCACTTGACCATGGGAAACCATTGTGCATTTGCACGGGAATCGAATCATTCCGTGGTTGCGTAGGTGGTACATCCCAATCCCCACTAAAATAGACTAAATTGTGGTGCACCTATCCCCAAATGGGATCCCATTGGTTTTGAACCATGGCCAGTAGCTTTCAGCTGCGGGGGGGGTTCGCCATCTTTCGCCTCAGAGGGCACCGCAAGGATCACCCCGATCCAGGCAGCACCTCGCAGCAAAAAAAAACACATTCCACCCCCGAGGCTACCGAAAATTCGGCGGCGGTCCGTCCTTTTTGTTGGTTGTTGTGGAGTTGGTACCCATCTGAAGAAAACCCAAGAGGAAAACCGAGAGGAAACCTTTTCTTTTAGTTGGTTTAGCACATTTTATCCCAAAAAAATGTTGACGTTTTAGAAGGGGATCGGAAAACAAACAGCCCAGTACAGTTTGTTCATGTTGCCCGCATACCAATCAAGCAACCACAAAGAAGAGGCTGAAGTAAGCCCACATTGACGGGGCAATTCTATGTGGGTAGCCTAGGTTCACGTTACAACTTACTAACTTGGCTGCGGTCTGCCCAAAAAAGTATTGACTTACAAAAAAAAAGAAGCCCACACACACAAAACCACGGCACACTCTTGTGTTCTTCAAGGGCAAGATTTTCCCCCAAAGCTGGGCCTCCATTGCTCTATGTGGGGAATCCCCAAGTTGGCATCAAAGGATCGGATCAACGGCTGCAACTGACCCAGACGTTTTCTCCCCCCACGCCGCGGGCCAGCGACGCTTTCTCCGCGCGCGGGAGCGGATCGAGCGGCGGAGAGCGCGTCGCGGCCTAGGCCAGCCCGTGGAGAAACGGCCCCGGCCACTCAAAGGGGTAGGTAAGTGGTTTGTACGCCTGGTGACAACCCGCTCAGGAGAGACTTGTAACCATGGCTATCACTCACTACAAGCACGCTGCCGCAAGCAGCCACTATTGGTGCTGTGAAACCTGAATCCTTGAAGACAACCAGCAAACCGGCCAGAGGCCAACCTACCAACCACGGGCTGGTGTGATCCAAGTCCTAAATGGATAGAATAGCGTTGTAGGCTATTTGGCCATTGGTCAAAATCCAAATCGTACCCCCAGTGAACATCCCAATCCCAAAATGGGTGGTGCACCTACCCCAAGATCGTATTTTGACCCAGCCACTTTCCCTGTGACTATTAAGGCCCTTGCATCACGGAACCCTAAAAACCAATCAAATTGTTAGAATGGGCTTGTGGGGTACTTAACAAATACTGGGCTGTTCTTAATTCCCTTTCTGAACGTTTACCTTTTAGTGGATCAAATACGGAAAGCCAACCACTAAACCAACTAAAAACAATCAAACACCAAAGGACGGCTGTGGGTCCGCCAAGATTAGTCATGATTGTCGGAGTAAACTATTTGGCTTCCCTTTTGAAAAAGAGCCAGTGACCACCGAATCCTTGTTGGGTTCCTTTGAGGATACACCGCATTCTTTACATCCCCCTCACCTTAAGGGGGGTTCACCAATTCCATTCATCTAGTCTTCCCCATAAAGGGGAAGAAGGGGTCACCCTTAAGGGAATTCCAGGGGTCGTAATCCCCCCCAATTCCATGTTTAAGGTTTCATTTTTTTACAAGGGACTCCTCAACAGCTAGAGTCTTAGGTGATGTTTTGTTTCGGTTCAGGTCTCCTGCAAGGGCCCTGAGGACGTCAGCGTCAGGTACCGAGAACATACGGTCAAAAGGTCGGTTTTGGCAACGCAACCCACCCCAACCCTCCATTTGCCTTTTTGCCCCCTGCAAGAAATGACCATATATGTCCAGTGGTGAAGTCGATTCCCTTTAACACCAGCAAAGGGATTCTAAAAAAAAAGAAGAGCTGAAACGTGAATCGCAAATGGAAGGCAACGCAGCCCAACCCACCAGAACTCGTCTTCGCCCCGCCTGCACAAGCCTCCCCGTAGCACACCAACACCTTCCGCGCCCAAAGCACAGCCAGCGCCAGGCACCGCCCTGAGAGTTTTGTGAGATTCGTCGGGCCTTCAGACCAGATGATAATCTCTGATACTCCAAATGCCCTTAAAACTTTCAGGGTGCCCCCACTCCAACCCTTTTTTTCAGGGTATATGTCGACCCTTTACGCTGAAAAACCAGGTTTTCCCAAAAATACCCTGAACCAAAAACGGGTATTTTGAGGAGGGGGGTGTTATTTGGAAGAACCAGGTTGTCCATGGTAAACACCTTTTCTAGTAAAGGGTTGACATCATACCCCATCATGCCCTGACAAGCGAAGGAAAAACAACTCAGGCTGCCCGTTTTCAGATCTGCCAAAATCTTAGCCTTTAATGGGTTAAACACACCAAAAACAAAAAAAAACAACCACTCAACTCACAAAAAAGCGAAAAAACCTAAGGGATGTGAAGTGGAAAACCAACCACTAGACCCTCAAGAAAACACATCACGTCTGCCTGGACCCGAAGAAACTACCCTTTAAAAACAAAGGTGGAGGTCACAGCAACATGTTGGGGCAACAACCCAATATTGAAGGGTAGTTTCTTCGGGTCCAGGGAAGAAAGCGATCTCCCCTGTTGTCACTACACCTTGGGATACCACCCTAGAGAAATTGCCCCACAGAAATAATCAAGGTTGATCTGGACATATCCTTGAATGAGTACTTTGCAGGGTGTAATCCCAGGGTGTAAAGGAAAAACACCTTGGGCAATAATTCAATGGTTCATACACCAAACATGAAAGTAACCTACATGTGTGCCGTCGCAATCCAATAACCCGAAACGTGACGTCGCGTTTCCAACCCCTTGAATAGTCTCCCTATTCAAGTCAAGCGTGGTCGGTGAAAAGCAATAAGCTACCTGTCCTTGATTCAGATACTCAAGCCCAAGACTGCCCCCCAAGACTGCCCCCTCTCCCGCTTCCTCCACGGCCTAGATCCTGCGAGAGTCGTGCTGTTTCGGGGTAGCCTCCTCCTCCCCGTTTCCATGATTCTGGAGTAACACATCCCCAAGTAAAGCACGTGCATCCAAGTAAGATCCTTTCCCCCCAAAATAAGCTCGTTATCAACAAAGCAGAGGTTGGAAAACGGGTACCCAGTGGACGCCTTTATCCCGTGGCTGCTCTCCCATCTGATTGAACCGCAAGATGCCGCACCCCCGCGCCGCCTGTGACAGAGAAGGGTGCCGAAATGGCGACCAACGCTCTTCCGCTGAGGGAGCTGGGGGAAGACTCCAGGAGGTCTTCCCCCAGGAATTGCAGGTTCAGGCCGATCAGGTTGCCTGCTGAAAAACCACGATTCGGTAAGCAGGGTACGTCAGGGAAGCTAACCCTGGCGATAGAAGCCACTGAACGGAGACTTATAGCCATGAGAAGTGGGTTATACACCCATACGGCACTCAAGTACCCTGTCCCAAGTGGAACCGCGGGAACGAGAACTCTCAACCCTCTGATTGACCTTCCCAAGCTCATCGATTTGGCTTAGATTGCCCAATAAAATGGCCAACCCTCTGATTGACCTTCCCAAGCTCATCGATTTGGCTTAGATTGCCCAATGAAATGGCCTTCCCAAAAAGCAGCAAAACCAGCAAGACAGAGATGGTCACGATCAAGACAAAACGGGTGGTATCACAGGCATTGCCTCACATCTGCGCACAATGAAAGGGAACAAGCAACGAATTCTAGAACTCGGGCCCTCCAACACAAAGCTTTAGACAGGCCTAAAGTGAAGATGTCGATGTATCCCGGGCTGGTCGCCTCTTGGTCTCCCAATGGCTGGTGTCTGTGAGCAATGTTGCCACAAGGCTGCACCCTTTTGCAAAAAATGCGCAGGACATGATATGGTCGAATCCTGATTCATTTTTAGCCCACCTCATAAATTTAAATATATATATATATGTATATTTATATTAAACAAAAAGAGAGCCCCAGGGTGGTGCGCAAAGACTTTCACCGTGACTTTGGGTACCACCCTAGGGGTCTCACCTGGAGGGCATCCCTGGTCTTCAATCCCAAGGCCTCGTTTACATGAGAAATACTGCCTCGTTTAGTCAGGGGTTGACACGATACCCCAAAGAGCTGCAGCAGTGCAGTAGGGGGTTGGTACAGCTTCAACTTCCTACAGGGATGGACCCAACCCAACAAAACACCTCCAGGAATGGCCCTCGCCCTCCTTCATTACAAAATGGCCCCTCCTAAGAATAAAACTATGTCTCGTCGGCCCACCTGCCTTTTGTACAATGATTAGCTATGATGGATCTCGCTCATTTTGCCCTGGATCGGTGAGCATGCAAGAACAGAGGCAGAAGATAGAGAAGAACTTGGCGGGCCCTCTGCAGTCGACTGGGCGCTCAGGACTTTCGATCGGTTCCGAGGGTTCTGCGCAAGGCGCAATATTCGCCCTCCCTCGCCCGCCCCGTCCAGCGCCCCCGGAAAAACAAACATAAAACAAAAAAAACAAGGAAACAACAACAGCAACAAATGAAAACAAAAAAACAACAACAGAGGAACAACAAACAAAAAGAAACCAAAAACAAAAACGCGGGGGACGCGCGAAGCCCTGCCTAGCGCGTAAGCGCCGAGGCCCCCAAGCGTGCCCAGCAGATTCCCCAGGAGCTGCATCAGTCCGGGCAGCACGTGGCCACAGCGCAGGGTCGCAAGACTTCCGCCCAGGCCATTCCTAAGGATTCGTTCTTTCCCAAAAAGTCCAAGTACCTCCTGAGGCTAAAAAGGGGTCCTTCAGTACCTCAGTACCTCCTTAGAAGGTAAGGGACCCTCTTGGTTTGGAGATGGAATGTGTTGAGCCCCAAGCTGAAGAGAATGAGCCAAGAAGCCCAAAGGAACAATCTTGGAAGAGGTGTAGGGTTCTTCGAGGATCTGTGCCTAAACTAAGAGGTGAACACGAAACCTTGGCCAACAACAAAAGGCATACAAAGAAAATAACATCTTCTGATCCTGTTTCATACTTGGCCCACCCTCGATCCACCCATAAAGAAGAGGACATCAAGCCAAAAGTTTCGCGCGATAACCCATCTTAGAGGGTAGTGTGTGGCGGGTCCAGGAATTTCTTTTGGAGGGTTGCGAAACTTGATTGTTCCTTTTGAAATTTGCTTTCAGAACATACTTCCAGTATAGCAAAATCTTTCCCCTTTGAAACCAACAACGGGCAATGATCAAATAACCTGGATCGCCAGTTGCTGCTTTTTCCATGAACTTTACCACACGCAAAAAAACAGCAACAGTGACTGAAAACAAACGATCGTATTTTGGGGAAAACCTGGTGTTCCACAGTGCATACCTCCTTGTGAAGTAGAGGGTCGACATGATACCCTGAAAAAGAGCGCATTTGGAGTAGGGGGTGTATCATTTAAACACAAGCGGAAAGGATCCTTGCCCCGTCATTCGCCCAGGGCGCGCTGAGGCGATGAGCACGTCCACCGGACCCGAGTGCCATGCTTGCCAGAAGTCCTGCGCGTCGTTTTGCGCAGCTTCGGTCGAAGCGGCGATGACGCAATAGCCGGCGTCGAAGACGGGCAGGCAGCGGCCCTGGGGTCAAAGGGACCCGGCGGAATCTGTCGGCTGAGCATGGCTGAAGCCAATGTGTGTCTTATTGAAGACGGACAGCCAGAGATGAACCTGGGGTTCCTCTTGCTTTCGTTTTGATTCCCAAAAACCTGAGAACAAAAAAGACAGACCCATATGACCCAGGTGTTAACTTCGTTGATGGTGATTGAGCACCCCAAACTTGGCCAGTGAGCCTCAAAAGACCCCTCTTTTCTGGGAGAGCCAGCATGGCTTCCCTTGGTTCAAGCACTCCAATTTCCAGTGAGCCTCAAAAAAAACCCCTCTTTTCTGGGAGAACCAGCATGGCTTCCCTTGGTTCAAGCACTCCAATTTCCAGTGAGCCTCAAAAGACCCCCCCTCTTTTCTGGGAGAACCAGCATGGCCTTTTTTTGGGGTTCAACCCCAATCCATGGGAATCCTTCAATGGGAAGCGGCCCTTTTAGGAAAAAAGTCGGACTCCGATCCGAACCATGCAGCTCCGCTCAAAAACAGCTCTGGATCGGGAAGTGACGAAAGGGGAAGTTCCTGGATCGCCGAACGGTGCGCTTTTTTGTTTTCTGTTTTCCATGTGGTTTTACCCCCAAAAACCCGATCGCAGCAGTGACTGAACAAAGCGAAAAAGCAACTTGGCGATCTAGGTGGATCAAAATGAAACCCCCAGGAATCGGACCGCAGGTTTTAGGCCATGTGTCCAGATGCCATGTGTCCTTTTGTCTTGTTGACCCGCCATGTTGATCCCATATCAGCCCTCCGGTTGATGAATAGGTTATGGTGCTTTTGCCTGGGTGAAACCTGGGGAATCAGACCACTGGATGGGGCCAACACCACCCCCTGATTGAAAAACTGGTTGTTTGAAATTCATGTGGGGTCAACCTTCGGTTGAGCAACTAAGTCATGAAGGGTTTCAGTGGAAGACGGCTTCCTTGTGAAGCCCTCGGGCTAACCGCACCGACCGCCGGTCCGTCCGCGGCGCCAGTTTTGAGGTCTTGGATTGCCGCAGGCGCCGCCACTCGGGCAGCAGCTGCCGCGCAGAGATCGTCTCATCAAAGCCCCAGGGGTTGCGGATCCTGACAAGTCCCTAAGGCTCCCGATTTTGTTTGCCCTCAAGATGGGAAGCCTGGCGGATACACAGCTAAAGTGGTTATTCATCAGGAGTCGCCATGATGGCTACCTACGAAGCATTTCTATCGCGGGCTTTTTCCGGCTTTTTCCAAACCACTCAGTTGCCCCGTCCGGACCTGGAAACACAAGGTGCCGAAATAAGGCTCCAACTCGATGATTCTTGGGCCCTCTCCTGATGGGTTGTTTTTTCAAGGGCCCTTGAGGAATTGGTCCGGGGTCTTCTTTGTAGGGCCCGGGGGCCTGCATTGGAGGGGTCATGAGCCTTGGGGTGATCACATTTTTGGGGCCGCTAAAGATTGACCCGCATAGAAAAGCTAAAGAATGTCAGCTCAGGTCGATTCGCTTTGGCCAAGTGAGCAAAAGCTCCAAATACCCCAGCTGTCTTTTATGGATATACTACTGGCTTTGCTTATTTTGTTGTTGGTTGGTGAATCCTGGTTCTATGGGGCAAATGGGAGGGAAGCTGAGCTTCTTTGCTCATTTCCGATCAAGTGGATTGCTTTTTTCAAAAACCGGTCCAAGGGCTCTAGCGCTCACCTTTTAGGGCCATGGAAAACTTTGACCAAAACCAGAATCCCAACAGGTCCAAAGGTCGGTTTTTCACTGGGAACAGGGACTCTGCAAACCTTTCGCTTTGGTTAAGCCACCTGGACAAAATGAGCAAATATCTCCAGTAGTGATAAATCCCCTTTAAACCAACTTGAGAAAATGAGAGAGACTGTGGATGGACGAAATCCTGCGCCGCTTGGAAATCATGAGAAACCAGTGCTGGTTGGTATTTGCAGGGGGATCATCAGAAACTAGGGTTTCTTTGGTGGTGCAGAATTTCATCCATCCACAGTATTCTTCTGATTCCCCATTCTTTTCAAGCATCTGTTTTTTTTCAAATACCGGCTGTTTCCAACCTGGGTGCTTGATGGTTTCCTGAAAAGATTCGGATCCCCGGAAAGAATGGAAAAGGAAGGTACCCCTAGAATTCTTCACCAACTGCACAAGGCAAAACAGCTCAGTTCAGCTACATTCCAACGTATGCATTGTGTATCTGTTCCTCTTCCCACCCTCATGGTACCCTCCCTCAAACCGGGGTCATCCTTCATTTGCTTAAGTCCCCTGGAAATATCAAAACTACTTCCAGTAGTGATAGTTTTCCTTTAAAACCAAGAGGGGAAGATAAAAAACAAGTAACCAAATGGAAGTCATGGTACCCTCCCTCAAACCGGAAAGACAAAACACTCGCTCTTCGGCGCCTCAGCTGGAGGATCTCACCCGCAATACCCCGCTCCACGCCCAGTAGCAGCACCAAATGCCCTGTGCCAAGGCGGTAGTTCAGCATCAGAATCACCGGGCCCTGTCACGGAAACGGCTCCCGAGTTATCAGGGATCCGAATCTTTCTAGAAAACCAGCAAACACCCTGGGGAATGGCTGGATTTTGAAAAGAACGATGGCTGAGCACGGGGAATCAACCCCTAGAATCACCACCAAGGGACACTCGCCTTTCATCTGCCGAAAAGCTGATGTTCAAAACCCACCGATGGAAATCTAGGGACCCCTGTGTCCAGGGCATAAGACCCGGCGGGCGAGGATCAACTTCTTCGGCTGGAGATCCCAACTTCGCGGTGGAAGGATCAGGCGCGGCCAAGTATATCTCCCTTCAATGGTGGGAAACCCGAACAGGTCATGTTTAAAGCCCTGAAGGGGAACAGGACCCCCCCCCAACATGTGGAAAATACTTACCCAAGAGTCCTGTCTACATATATCATGGCCAAAGCCCCGGTGCGAATTCCCCACGGATCCTGTGAGGGTTACCCACATACCACTGGAAGGCCTTAGACTTGCTTCTTGAGCCCCCTGGAAAAATGAGGAAAACACCTGTCCAGCAGTAGTGAAATCGCTTTCCTTCAAAACCAAGAGATGGGACGATCAATAAAACATGACAAACAACAAACAAATACTCCACCAAAAATCCGGAGCACTGAAGGAGAGAATCGCCCGAGAAATTCACCGCCTTTTGCACGTGGCGCGCCATCTCCTCGAGGCTGCCGCAGTTGTAGTGCCTGGACCCTGCCTTGGTTGCTGTTAACCGACCCCCTGCAGAAAGTGAGATTCACTTTTTGGGGGTTTAGTGGAAAACACCTTTATTTGCCATGCAATCAGTGGAAAACGCATGACTACTTTTGCGGGGTTTGGTGGAACACCCCACTTGATTTTAATTAAAAAGCTAAAAAGTCTAAAGATCCGCTGCCCAATAGCAGAGCTGCCAAGCCCAGAGACCGCGCGAAGCGCGCCAGCTCCGAGGGCAGCTCGCCTCCAAAAAAGGCAAAGCGTTTGGCGGCGTTTAGGTCAAAAATCCCGGCTCTCCCCCAGTGAGCATCCCAATCCAACCACTAAAATAGGTTCTAAAATGGGTGCACCGAAAAGCCTGGGCTGACAACTTGCGTTTGGTGGTTTGCTTTTCCGAGTTGGCGTGGAAAGAGAAAACTCAAATTGGTCTGGAGGTCTCTTATCCCCCCTACCTTAAGCGAGAGGGGGGTCAATTCCATGTCCTAGTCCCCCCCATGAAGGGAGCATGTACTTGTGATGGGAATTCTCGGGGTCACCCCCTTCCCGCAATTCATGTTTAAGGGGGTGGGGATTCTTTTCCAAGTTCCAGGCGTGTTGCCACTACACGGTAGGTAGCAGTTCGGACTGTTCGGTACATGGATGATTTGTGCCGATTCCAGGAGATTGCTCTGAATTGCTCAGGCCTCCTTCTCATACTTCCGATGCGCCCTTTGTTCAAACTGGGTGGAATTCCCTTTTGTGTCCTTAGGCGCGCCTTTTCGAGGCGCAAACCCTTGGGCCGCTTGGTTCACCCTCCCAAGCCCAGCTTGGCAGACAAACAGATGGCCCTGGTTTAGTGTGGGTCAACCTGGACCCTCAAACTACCCATAAAAATTGGATATCACCCCATAATTTTGGGGGTTAAACCCATTTTTAAGGGAATTTTTGAGGGTTCAGGAAGTTGTTTCGCCAATGCCGTCAGGTTGTTTAGCCGGGTGCTCCAAGGGTCCAAGGACGCAAACTGCCATGGTCCAAACTCCAAGCTTTGGCCCCAAGTGGACACACTGTCACACCTCACTGGGTGGAAGACGTGTTTGCCACTCAGATGGTCTTCCCACAGAACATGTCAAGCTTGAAGTCCGAGAACTCAGTCAGTGGATTGTTTTTTTTGGGAAAGGGAGCAAACCTGAATCTGGGACCCCTAGTTCGCAAGAAATATATCCGCACATTGCCATCTGCACAGCCAAAGGGTTTTGTTGTCCTCGCTGCCTTACAAGAGCTCAAACTCAGCCTGCATGCTCCTGCCGCCTTGGTCCCGGCCCCAAGTGACCACTGAGCCGTCAGCCAGGATGGCAGCAAAAGCTTTCCTTGTTCCGTGGATCTGCTGGACCCCCACCAGCTGCTCTCGCACATATTTGGTGTCGCCGCCATACTCCTCATAGCCCCAAGTCACAACAGAGCCGTCAGTCAGAATGGCAGCAAACGCACCTGCAGTCGATTGGATCTGCTGGACCTGCTCAAGCTCCCCTCTCACCCGGCTGCAGTCACCGCCATAGAGAGGCAGGCCCCAAGTCACCACAGAGCCGTCGTCCAGGATGGCAGCAAAGGCACCCCCAGTTGCTTGGAGTTGCTGGACCCGCACCAACTGCTCTCGCACCTGACTGCTGTCACCGCCCATGTCAGGATGGCCCCAACTCACCAGAGAGCCGTCGGTCAGGATGGCAGCAAACGCACCTACAGTCGATTGGATCTGCTGGACACCCACCAACTGCTCTTGCACCTGGCTGCTGTCACCGCCACACTGTGGACGACCCCAAGTCACTACAGATCCGTCGGCTAGGATGGCTGCAAAAGCAGTGTCAGTTGCTGAGATCTTCTGGACACGCACCAACTGCTCTCGCACCTTGCTGGTGTCACCGCCAGAGCCAAGATCGCCCCAAGTCACCACAGAGCCATCGGTCAGGATGGCAGCAAAGGCAGACATACTTGCTTGGATCAGCTTGACGCCAACCAACTGTTGCTGCACCTGGCTGCTGTCACCGCCCCAGGCAGGACGGCCCCAAGTCACCACAGAGCCGTCGGCCAGGATGGCGGCAAAAGCTTCACCAGTTGCTTGGATCTGCTGGACATGCGCCAACTGCTCTCCCACCTTGCTGCTGTCACCGCCCATGTCAGGATGGCCCCATGTCGCTACAAAGCCTTCGACCGGGATGGCAGCGAATGCGTCCCGAGTGGCCTGGATTTGCTTGACTCGCAACAGCTGCTCCAGCACATGACTGGGGTCAACGGCAGCATCGCCCCATGTAACCGCCGCGCCTCCTGGAACATAGACTGCAAAAGCATTTTCCGTGGCAGCGAATTTGACGGGCTGCACGAGGGCATTCACGGTGTCACCATCTCGCAGGCCCACCTCAATCAAGGTAGATGACGGATCGAGCTGCTGATCACCGAAGGCAAGCCTCAGAAAGCGGCGCTCCAAGCGCCTTTGCGCCTCAGCCTTCAGTTCGCCCACACTCGACTCCGGCGAAGCGAGCGTCACCGAACAGCTCTTCCCGCTTGGCAAGCACACCTCCACGGCAAGCATGGCGAACAAGTGAAGGCTGGGGCTTGAAGCTCCCCCCAAAGACGCGAAAGTGGATTGGCCACTTTTCGTGGGGTCAACTTGCAACGACGTATACCATGCTTGGACCGAAATTTGTGAAACGGACGTAACCATCCAACTTCCAACTTCCCCGGTGGCTCTCTGCACCGGGGAAGGGTTGCAGTGTACATACACATACATACACACATATATATATATATATAGTTAAATACATAAACACACACATACATATATATATATATATCAATACATACCCGCTACTCCCCATACCCTCTTTTTTCAGGGTATCGTGTCGACCCTCTACTAAAAAAGGAGGCATGTACGATGGAAAACCAAGTTTTCTTAAAATACCCCGAGAAAAAAAAAGAAAAAGCGGGTATTTTTGAGCAGGAGGTCTATATTTCATATGTCCCAAACCCGAGCCACGAATCTAGCTGCACAGCTTTGCTGGGTGGCCTGCGGCCCCGAAGCTCCAAATACCCTGGATGTTTTTGGTTGTTTTGTTTTTTTCTCTGTTGCTAGTTTGTATGTTGTGGAAAAGGGTGTCCGTGGTAAAAGAGAATACCAAAGGCCCTTTTTAAACTAGTCAACAACCGAGTAGAAATTGCAATCTAGACGGCCAAGTTGCTGCTGGTTTTTGGGGCAAAGTGCATGGAACAAAAACCCGTATCTTCGGCGCCGCCCGAAGCGGATTTCCAGGCGTGTCATACTGCGGATGGTTGCGAAATCCATTTCGAACCACCCTTCAGAAACCAACTGGTTTCTGATGATTCCCCAACGTAAATACCAACGTTAACAATCGTTTTGCATTTGTTTCAGGTGCGCGCAGGATTTTGTCCATCCGCGGTATGTCCTTAGTTCGGTGCAGTTCATCCCGCTCTGCTATCAGCGAGAGGTTTCCATGGTTTCCATGTGCTGCGAGAGGCATCGAGAGGCATCGAGAGGCAAATTTCACAACCATCCACTGAACTCTGGCCTAGATCCAGGCGGCCGTAGGGATGGATGCGCTCCTCGATGAGCCTGGGCTCCAGGTGCAGGCCGAAGTAGGCTAAGGACATGGAGAGGCACGTGGAGCCACAGGACCTCGGACGCAACAAAAAAATAACTTTCAATGGAAACTAACTTCTAGGGGTTGATTCCTTTTCCATTAATTTTCCTGAAAAAAAAAAACAAACCCTGGCTATAAAACAGCTCCACACAAAAAACACGCTGGCCTCAGAGGACTCAAACAAAAATCAATGGGACCAAACTTCTAGGGGTTCCTGGATCGCCAGTGGCTTTTTCGCTTTTTTCCAGGTTGTTTTACCCAAAAAACCCATCGCAACAGTGACTGAACAAAAGCGAAAAAGCAACTTGGCTATCTAGGTTGATTCCTGTTCCATTATTTTCAACCGTTCTTTTTCAAAAACCAGCTGTTTCCCTGGGTTTTTGGTGGTTTCCTGAAAAGAAGGATCCTTGGAAAGACTCCAGAGGACTCAAATTTTCAATTACTCGGACCCAAGTCGGATACTAGGTCCTCCGATACCCCGTCCCAACCAAAAAAGGGTAAAAGGGCACTACTGGGAGACCTAACTCCCACAAGAATGACAATCATGTTTGATCATGGCAAGTGGAAGCAACAAAGCACAAGAACGACTTCCTGGACCAAAAAAAAATACACCGGCCGATGCTTAGGTGAATTCCAATTGGGAAACTCGGACCCAAGTCGGAACCTGATATCCACAACATTGGGGTTGATGACGTGGAGCCACACGACCTCGGGACCCTTTCCTTCTCGCCCTGCTCAAGAGGCCGAGCTCTCCATATGGGTGGCGAAGTGATTTTGTTTCGGGCATGTGGACCTCCAATTGATGGACGTTTTTCCTTCTAGCTCTAAAAAAAACATTTACAGGCCCCGTGTTTTTCTCGTTGCGTTCTGCACCACCCCGAGAAACTCACCGAAAACCACCACAAACAATTGGCCAGATAGCGACACTTGATCAACGCCGGGAAACAAACTACGGTTCCTGGATCCTCAATTGCCTGTTTTTTCCAGCTACTTTTGCCAAATCATGAGCTGCTGGTGGGTAAAGTGGCTGGAACAAAGCGGCTACTTGGGGATCGAGGTTTGGGTAAAGCTTTTGGAACTTGTTCAGGATTGTTCAGGCACCAAACCCACAGGCAAATTCCAGCCCGCTTGTCTTTCCGCATCCAGCGCTCTTGGAAAACCGGATTTCAGAATTGGATCCCCAAGTGCAAATTGCCACCTAAACCCGAAATAACTACCTAACAATTAGATATTGCCAACCCACACCTGGTTGGCAAAGAAAATCCCTCTGTGTGTAGCTTGAGGGTCCAGGAATCTCCAGTTTTCGCAAACCCGGCAATCAAACATCAACACCAATTTTAGGATTGCCTAGATAGCCAAGTTGCGATCGCTTTGTTCAGTCACTGTTGCTGGTTTTTGGGGTAAAGTTCATGGAGAAAAACAAGCGATCGCAACTGGCGATCCAGGTGGGTGGTTTTCGCTGGACTTCAGCCCCTTTTCCGGTGGGAGATGCTCGACTTGCGCCATGCGTCGGGCCCTCTTGCCGCAGGCAGGGCATCTTTCGCGCCATGTCCTGAGAAGGCGAAGTTCCCAGCCTAAGGCTCCAGATTTGGCTGTGGCTCAACAAACCGAAATTCCAAAATGAGTGGGAACATGGACCAAAACCTGCGGTTTGCCCCTGCTTAATTTTGAGCCACACCCATTTTTTGTTTGCCCTCAAGATGGGTTTTTTCAAGGGTTCCTGAGGGGTCCGGGTTCCTCATTGGAGGGGTCATGAGCCTTAGGGCAGCCTAAATCCCCAGTCCAGGAGAAGAAACTGACCACTTTGCTCAGTAAAACCCCTCCAACCCAGAGGCCTTCTAAGGAGGTACTTAGACGGAGGTACCAACAGACCAAAAGCCATCCTCAGGAGGTACTTGGACCCTCTGGGCAAGTAATTGCCCGCTTTTCTGAACTGAGTTTGCCTGGTCAGTACCGATCCCTTGTTTGCGTTTTGGTCAGGGGTTGATATATCATACCCTATCGAGGGATAGGCTTCGTGCCTTTGGGGGGTCCACTCTTTGGGCCCATCCAAAGAAATTATCAAAGGAAGGAGCCCGGCTGGGCATTGCGAATCGCAAGCCGAACTGTTCGTTACATGTTTGCGCGCTTGCGCTGCTTCGGCGGGAGAGCGCGCTCTCTACGTTTTGAGCGATCGTTCGGACGAGTTCTTGTGTTATTTTTAAGAGAAAAAAAAACAAACAAATACACTAAACCCGTTGAAAGGTGCAAGTTCGGGTGGGCGGGGCGGGCTCCCGGTTACAAAACGGCGCGCTTCCTTCTTCGGCCTTTTTGGGCACCTTTCTTGGGGTTGGATTGCAAGACAGGGGCCAAAATGAAGAAGTCTCAACCTTCCCCCCCCCCCCCTGGTGGGCCAAATCAATGGAAGCTTGCGGGAGCTTCTCAAAGGCCTTGCGGAAGCAGGTCCTCCCGGCCCTGTCGCTTTCCGAGGCTTCCATTTGGTTAAGACCCTTAAAACAAAAAACGTATAGTGATAGATGCACTTTAAAACCAACAAGGGAAAACAAAACAGATATTCTTAAGCAAACGGAAGGAGGGAGGGCCCAAGTCCCTCCGGCCTCTGGCTCCAGAAAGGCCGCGTGCATGGCCAGTCCTGGCGAACGAGTGGGTTTCGGGGGTCGGAGATCGGGCGCGTCCACCTGGACCCCCACAGGGCCCCTTTTTTCTGCCTTTGACAAAAAAAAAGGGGTACAAAGGCAGAAACAAGGGGTCCTTTGGGGGTCCAGGTAGGCAGCTGCCATGTGTTTTATTTGGGGGGAGTAGATGGTGTGAAGGGGCAAGGAAAGGAACAAGGCAGCGCGACATGTTGTGTGAGCCGGTTGGTTTTGAAGAAAACTTGGGTGCTCAACGTTATGAGTCACAACTGGGGTTGGTTGACTTATAAGCATGGTTTTAACCTGCTTACCCGACATTGAACAAATCCAAGACCCCCGTGGCAAATCTCAAAGAACAACGGGGACGAAGGCTTGCTAGACCTGTTGTCCCCAACCGGGAGACGGGAGATGGGAGATCCCAGAATTCGGCCATGGCTTGAGCGAATGAATTCCCCAGCTGAAAGTATGGGCTCGAAATCGGCCCAGACATCGGCTCTTGGGAGGGTTCCAAGGGTGCCAAGAGACTTGGCTTGATCACATAGGTGGCCTTTTGGAAAAATAGATGGCCCTGGTAAATGAAAGAAACCCCACTTAAACCAGTGCCATCTATTCTTAAGCAACCTAACCTAAAAAGGATACCTATGCTTGATCATTTTCAAGCCAAAGTGAACCCTTTGTTGGGTAACTGGGGGCATGGCCTTCTTACCCTACCGTATCTGACTCTTCTTACCCTGGTACCTTTAGACAAAGGGATGCATAACCTTTTGGATAAAGGGGCCCACCATCCATGTTGGGTAGATAAAGGGATCCATACCCTGCCTCCCGTGTAGACAAAGGGACCTTTTGCGGCCGCGTCCATGCAATAATGGCAAACAAATTGGAAGGATCTTCGGCTTGGCCATCTGGGCGCGGCTTGCCAAAGGTGAGGGCGAAGATCGAATTTCAAATTTGGGACTGACATTTTCCCTTAAGCCCAGAGGCTCCTGGGGCTTTCATTGGAAGAATCGACCCCTCCATTAGACACCCCGGAGGTGCTTGGGGGTCTAAAAACCAGGTTGTTTGAAGCCCCTAAATCAATCGGGAGCCTCTGGGAACAATGGATGTTGCCAGTTCCCTTTCTTTCACGGGAACTTTGAGGGTTCAAGTAGTTCAAGTAGTTCAAGTAGTTAGCAGTTCTTTTTGGACCTGCGAAACTCCCTGAAACCCTACAAAATATGAAAAACAGGACGGCATCATGTCCACGAAAAGGAATTCCACGAACGGAAGAGGTTCACCCTGAGGCTCTAACGGGAACCCCGGATTAAGCACCCCCGAAAGCTTTTTAGGGGTATGCTTGCACAAAGCTGGGTTTGCATGGCAAGTACCCCCTTTGTTGACATGATATCCTCAAGAAGTGGGTATTTTGCGAGGTCCTGCTTGATTTTGAGAGATGGGGGTTGCCCCTTTTTCGTGGGGATTTTGGACACACCTTCTATTGATAGGACGGGGTCCCCATGACTCCCAATACAGCGATGTTAACCCTCATTTAGGGAGGTTATAGCCAAGGTTCCCCACAACTTACTAGACTGGCCGAACACCTAAGTACCTCCAGGTTTCACGGTGAACACATCTACGGTTTCGCATGCTTGCTTGCTATAGTGACTACAGAGGCGACTGGAAGCACTGGGATGATGAAGGCGACATCGGGAAGGGCCGCTGAACAATGGGTTATAACCCAAGTGTCTAAGCACTTACCTGGCGAGTCGAACATCCAAGTAAGGAACCCTGACAAACTATGTAGTGAATCTTGTATTTGCTTCAGTCCCATGAGGAAAAAACACATTTCCAGTAGTGCTAGGCCTTTAAAACCAAGAGGGGAAACAAATTATTGAGCAAATGCATCCCTTTTCAGGCTGGTGGAAGGGGGCCCAAAAAAAGGCGCTGCTGAAGCCCGGAAAGCTGACGAGGGGAGGTAATGTTGACCCCATGTTTATCAACCAACCAGTTTATTAATAGGGGTGTTTTTTTTGGCCCCTCCACAAGACACCCCCTATGAATAATCAGGGGTTGATTCATATGGGGTCAACATTATTCCATAGTGATGAATCCCGACACCAAAAGCACAATGCAAAATAAACCAGTCATTCTGCTGAAAGTCAACAAGGACGCGCGTTGCTCGTTTTCACCCCGCCCTTGCCGCGGGAAAACGACGAACAAGATCAAAGAGGGATGAGATCAATGTGAGGGTTGCTCCCACCTCCAATGGCCGAGGCTTCTCTCAGGCCATAGGGTAGCAGTCCAACCCAAACAGTATGATAGCAAACGACTCTGCTTCTTTGCAGCCCCGCCACTCAAATGAAAAGCCCAAACATAAACTTGCAACAGTAGTTAAGCAAAAAATAGTCAACCACTTGAAAAGGGATCGGAATTACCCCGAAAAGCCGATCCGTTCTCCAAGAAGTAAGACGCCGGGGGTATTTGGACGGGGGCACAAGAAAGTTGACCACTTGGTTCCCAGAAAAGGCGCAAAAGAAGCAAGGAGAGTGTTCCTCGCGATACTGGGCCCTTGCAGCTCCTCACAGCAAGTCCAGCAAGGACTGAATCTCGTTGCTGTCGCCGCCGGTCTCTGGCTTGCCCCATGTCACCACCGAGCCGTCGTCCCCAATGGCAGCAAAAGCCCCGTCGAGAGTTGCGGAGATTTGATGGATGCGCACCAACTGATCTTGCACCTGGCTGCTGTCACCGCCGCAGGCAGGACTGCCCCAGGTCACCACAGAGCCGCTGTCGAGGATCGCAGCAAAAGCCCCGAAAATTCCGCACATGTCCCGGACACGCACCAACTGTTGGCGCACCTGGCTGCTGTCAGCACCAGCCTCTGGATCGCCCCATGTCACCACAGAACCGTCGTCCAGGATGGCAATAAAAGCCCCTCCAAATCCTCCGTAGACCTGCTCCACGCGAACCAACTGCTCTCGCACCTGGCTGCTGTCACCGCCGCGCTCTGGATGGCCCCATGTCACCACCGAGTCATCGTCCAGGATCGCAGCGAAAGCATCTCCGCTTCACTTGATCTGCCGGACCTCCACCAGCTGCTCTCGCACCTGACTGCTGTCCCCACCGCGCTCTGGGTGCCCCCATGTCACCACAGAGCCGTCCTGCAAAATGGCAGCAAAAGCACACATGTTTCCTTGGATCTGCCGGACTTGCACCAACTGCTGTTGCACCAGGCTGCTGTCGCCACCATGTTTTGGGTGGCCCCAAGTGACAACAGAGCCGTCGTCCAGGATGGCAGCAAAAGCACCTTCGAAGGAAGCTTGGATCTGCTGGACACGCACCAGCTGCTGTTGCACCTGGCTGCTGTCACCTCCATGGCCAGGACTGCCCCAAGTCACCACAGAGCCGTCATCCCGGATAGCAGCGAACGCGCCGCCAGTTCCTTGAAGCTGCTGGACGCGCACCAACTGCTCCCGCACCTGGGTGCTGTCACCACCACACTCTGGATGGCCCCATGTCACAACAGAGCCATTGTCCAGGATGGCCGCAAATGCATCCAAGCTTGATTGGATCTGCTGGACCTTCCCCAGCTGCTCTTGCACCTGGCTGCTGTCACTGCCGGCACCACCACCCCAAGTCAGCACTTGACCTCCTACCACATGAAGTGCGAAGGATTCCTCACTTGCCACCCAGAGATAAAAGGTGATCACCTTTTGGCACCTCTAAGACGCACTCAGCCAAAAAAGAACAAGGTGATCACCTTTTGGCACCTCTAAATCTTGACCAAGCCTGTTTCAAAATTGGCAAACCAAAACGTAGTCATTTCAGGTGGAAGTGAGCTTCCAAAGTAGCAGCGAGCCTCACAGGCAGCGCAACCACCGCCACGCTGTCCCCATCCTTCACACCCGCCTCACTCAGAGTCATGGCCAGGTCCAGCTGCTCACCTGCGAAGACGAGCCTCAAGAAGCGGCGCTCCCAGAGCCTCGGCTACTGTGGATGGACGAATTCCGCTTCTTGCACCACTGGACCACTTGGAAATCATGGAAAACTCAGCGCTTCCTGGCATTTACAGGGGAATCGAATCAGAAACCCGGGTTTCTTCGGTGGTGCGAAATGGATTTCGTCCATCCACAGTATAGTTGATGTTAGGGGGCGAAACCCCTTCTGTTCTTGGGTGATGTGATTTTGATGGAGCAAAAAGGTTTATGTTCTGGGTTGGTTAAAGGGGAAAACATCTCCCAAACGACCGCCCCCAATCTTGCCACTTGCCACTGTGCTGTTGCACCGCAGCCTTCAGCTCGCGCACGCTGGCATCTGGCGAGAGCGACAATCGGTGGCTGTGTCCACTTGCCAGGCACGCCACCACTTCCATGGCGCGGCAAATGGAACGCGGCTGGAAGGCGAAGCCGAACACCAGGCGTGGCATTTCTTCGGAGGTCTGCACATAGCGCCTTTCAGCACGGCTCCCGAGTTATTTCTTTACCCTGAAAACATCACCACCAAGTTGGACACTCACTTTTTAGGCCAAACAACTGCACCAAAAAGGGACACATAGCGATCGACCCCCGTCCCAGGCGAGTCCTGTGGACCATTTTCCTCAGACCGGCCTGATGATCTCGGTCCACGCCTATCCCCATACCCGCTACTCACAATACCCGATTTGTTCAGGGTATTCTTGGGAAAACCTGGTTTGCCACGGTAAATACCTCCTTTTTTAATAGAGGGCCTGAAAAAAAGTCGGGTATTTGGAGTCAGGGTATGTTTCACCCGTGAGCTCAGACCGGCCTATTTTCCCCTCTGGCCACTGGAGATCTGCCACCCATTCAACCGCAGGACAATGCTCCAGGCATTGGCTTCCCCTACTCCAAATACCCGGCCTTTTTTCGGGGCATCATGTCGACCCTCTACTAAATTAGGAGGTATTTACCGTGGCAAACCAGGTTTTCCCAAGGTGTTTTTTCCGCTGAAAAGAAACGGGAATTTCGAGTAGGGGCTTTCCCTTGGTCTCGATGCAAAGCCCTCCGCAGTTGGTGGTTCCCTTCATGTGCCTGTACTCCGGAACCTTTGAATTCATTGAAGCCGGTCTCCCCGCCTTTGTTTAGACTGGGCTTCTCGTTGAACCTCCATCCCTTTCAAGCGAAGGGTTCATGCCCTATCACCCCAGCTCAAAAAACGTATTGGGTGAATCGGGGCCGGGGTTTCAGTGGGCTTGGGGAAAGATTTGCCCGAGGATCCCTCGCGGATCTGCGCGAAAACCAAATAAAGGCTTCTTGTTTGAGGCCGCACCCCGTTTTTTGGGGTGGTTCTTGGGGGAAACCCTACACACCAAAACAAAACAAAAACAAGGCCGGCCGTTTTTTGAGGTGGTGTTTGAAGGGTTTCCCTACCAAAAAATAGTATACAACAAGAAAAACAAGGCCAGTTCTGGGCTTCCTGGTGCCCTTCCAAAAGCTCGGAAACTCCACCGCACTCCTAAGCCCAACCGGAACCGCCAGTCTCGGCCGGCGCTGCCCATGCGTCGATCGATTCGCGCTCCGGGGCTCAGTGGTTGAAAAGCCAGAAGGGGCGGGAATGGCAAAGCTTCCCCCTCCAAATATCCGCTTTTTTCGGGGTATGTCTGGGAAGACCTGGTTTAACCACCTCATTTCCTCAAGGGGTGTCACGTCGGGCACGCGCTTCCGTCGCCGCGAGCCTCGTCAATTGGGGCACACAGGGTACTTAGTGGTTGGTAAGCCTGGCCACTTAGCAGACTAGAGACCCACTTACTAGGCACCCCCCTGTAGGTTCCCAAAGGGTGATGTTTGGATCCAGTGCAACTGGAAAGAACGGCACCGCTGGCTGGGGAAGACTTTGTCATTCTAACACTGTCCTTAAAGAAATCCTGGCGAAATCCTTAAAGAAATACCGGTTTTTCAAGGTTATTTTGTGGAAAAACCCGGCTTTCCATGGTAAATACATCCTTTTCGAGTAAAGGTTTGACATGGTACCAACGAAAAAGGCGGGTGTTTGGAGTCTTGGTTGCTGTTGACCCCTCTGCCAAAAGTTAACAGTTCCAGTTTTTGTGGGTTCAATGGAAACCCCTTGGTTTCCTAAAAAATTAAAGTCGAAAGATCCAGCCCAATAGCAATCAAGACTTTGTGCTCCAATCAAGAATCATTTTGCTGCCAAGTGTCCAGGTCAGGGTCTATAGCCAGAAATGGCCGTGGGTCAATGCACCTACCCCAAAATGGGATCCCATTAGATTTGACCCACAGCCAAATGACGCATGCATCTTGCTCACTCGGAAGCGGCCAAATTTTGTCCGCCCCGACATTCCCGAAATGACGTGGCGTGAGCGCGCGAGTGAGCGCACAAAGGCTCTGGCTCCAAGATCAATTACCTACACCCAGTACCCACTTCTTCCAGGGCACGATGTCGGCCCTCTACTAAAAAAGGAGGTATTTACCATGGAAACCCAGGTTGTTCAAAAACTACCCCAGAAAAAGTGGGTATCTGGAGCAGGGGGAATCACCTATCCCCTTTGGTTGGTGGACCCGGGCTACTTTCACTGCCTCAAAGGCTTCAGATCCAAATCCGAACCAACAATCGAGGGTTGCCTTGAGCAGCGCTTCCAAAGCCGGCAAAGAACAGACACATGCCAAAGGCACGTGGCAACAATCAATTTTTGGATTTGGGCCTTCAAGTGGCTTCGGCGGCCTCTTTGCAGCTTCCGCTGTGGGGGGGGGGGGGGGGGCGGACAAACCCAAAGGCCTTGGGGTCTGGAATTGGGAAGCACACCGCTAAACACCAAGGTGTTGGTAACCGACCCCCTAATCCAAATACCCACTTGTTTAGGGCAGGGCTGTGGGACATGGAATCCACTTCTGTGATACAAGGAAAAGGGCTTCCCAAAGACTAACCCATCGTATAAGGGGGGAGTCCCTTGTATCACAGAAGTGGGGAGAAACCCCTTCGTCCCACAAACCTGGTTTAGTTGTTTTTCTCGGACAAACCAGGTTTTGAAAGGGTCAGCATGACACCTTGAAAGGCGGGTATTTGGAGGGGCGAGGCTGTTCACTTCTTCCCGGACCTCAACACTTTGCAACACTTGCTGGGAAACCGCTGGATGACGCCATGGAAGCTCAGCAAACCTAGTCGTGAGCCTGGCAACCGGCGGCGATTCTCAGTCGGAAAGCCACCCAAAAGGGACTTAGAGTGCCCCAGTGTACGGGACCCACAGGGACCCACAAACTGGCGGCTTTCCTTCTCGCCTTTTCAAACCGAAAGGGCTAGCCTCCAAAAATTAGGGTGGGGCTACCCATGTGTGATTTCCTGGACCCCCAGAGGACCCCTTTTTTCTGCCTTTGACCCAAAAAAAAAGGTACAAAGGCAGAAAAAAAAGGGGTCCTTTGGGGGTCCGGGTTCTTGTGAAGCTGGTGTTTCAACCATTTGCCCCCTTTCCAAAACTGCCGCGCCGCCCGGCCCAAGCACGAGGCAGCACCACCAAGAAGCTGAGGCCAGCGCCGACCGCGCAATCGAAACCTCGGCTCGCGACTCGCGAGGCGAAAGCCACGGCGATGTACCGCCCGAAAGCTCCAAAAACCCGCTGAAACTTCAGCCCTCAGGCTCGCGAGGGTTTTTTGGCCCTCAAAATGGGTTGTTTTCAAGGGCCCCTAGGGGTCCGGGTTCTTCAGTGGAGGGCCCGGGGGCCTGCATTGGACGGGTCATGAGCCTTAGGGAAGGGTACCTTTTGGGAAAACCGAGCGGTTTCCAGGGTAAGTATTAGCAAACCCGGCCTTCTCGTTTCAGTGTGCATTTTGTGGGAAAACCGACGGACAAAGACCGAGCTGCTTTTTAGTAAAGGGTTCTATTGCGACATGATATCAACCAAAAAACAAAAAAACAGCGGGTATTTATTCGAGGGTACGTCAGGCAAGCCGTTTAGCCGTTGGTTGTTTCACTTGTCCCTTGACCCAGAAATCTGAAAGGTGATTTTAATGTGATCACCTGAAGTGGGAACCCCAACTGAGAACCAAAGCTTGCTGGTGCGATAGGCAGGGATGAGCTGCTATGAACCATCTGGTGTCGTGTAAGGTGACCTTTAAGAAGCCTGAATTCATTCCCTTTCTCATTCCCGTATCGCGCAGGCTTGCGAAGAGGTGAGATCCGACGCTTCCATTTGCGTTTTCGTCCCCTCGAAAAAAGAGAGGGAAAAACACAAACAGTAGTGATAGATTCCCTCTAAAAACCAACAAGGGGAAAAAAAACAACAACAACATATTCTTAAGCAAATGGATGGAAGAAATGCTTTGGACTGAGTTGTCAGTCCACCAACCCCAGTGCCTTTCCGGCCTTTCACCCAAAAACATCGGCGTCAGTCTGTGAGCGTACAGGGCTTCCCTCCTTGGCAACAGTGGTATGTGGCGAACCCCAGATACCCCCGCAACCTCCAAATACCTGCTTATTTTTCCACTGGTATCACGTCCCCCCAACCGACTTCTCAGGGAGGGTTTCAAAAGGAGATTCGCCTTTCGAATGTTCTGGGGGCTGTTGGGGACACCTGGCCAGGCTCATTTTGGAAAACCGATGTTCCAGGGTCAATCCCGATCCCTTTCTGGTAGTCCAGGGGCATCGTGGTTCCGGGAGTAAGAGACACACACCCCTCGCGGGGGTTCAAAACCGGGGCCGCGACAGGAGGAGCGCCAAACTCCTGGTCGATGGTCCCACCCAGCAGACCCCTACACCCAATACCCACTTTTTTTCCAGGGTATCATGTCGGCCCTCTACTAAGAAAGGATCCTATTTATTATGGACAACCGCTCGGCTTTCCCCAAAAAATGCCCACTGAACAAAAGCGATGGCATTTGGAGTCGGGGCTTTTGCTTCGAGGGGTTCGGTCGACCGAATCTTTCCCCCGAAAGCTCCTGGGATCGCCCGGTGCGAGCTTTTTCGCCTTGTTCCATGTTGCTTTACTCCAAAAACCCATCGCAACAGTGACCGAAAAAGCGAAAACGCAACTGGGCAATCTAGGTTTTTGTTAGTTGGCGTTTTTGTTGAAGAACCGATCGGTTTTTCAATGGTAAAAACCGATCCCCTTTTTGGAGGGTTGACATCATACCCTGGAAAAAGCAGGTACTTGGAGTGGGGGGCATACCTGAAAACCATCAAACAGGACCCAGGAAACTTGGTTTTCTCGGCCAAGATGTTGGAGCCAGGTAGGCTTTACTATAACCCAAGCAAAGCAGGTAGGTTTGTTCTACCGAGGTGCTGAAGCGTGCAAAAAGGACCGACTAGCCTAAACCAGATATAGAACCACCAACGAAATTGGCCAATGGGAATGGGTGTTGCGTGCCCAAGTGACTGAGATCTCTTCTAGGTCCTCCAGAGAGGTTAGAATAATTTGGTACCTTTTTGTCTGTAGTCTATTTTAGTAGGGGAACCCTCCCAACCAAAAAAGTTGTGTGAGAAAGGGCACTTAGCTGGGGGACCTAGACAACCATTGTCCATCCAGTGCCAGAACTGGGGAACCGAATCTCCCCAAAAAAAGGTACCCTTTCTTTTTTTTTCTGTAGTCTATTTTAGTAGGGGAATGTCCCCTCCCCAAAAACAGAAACGGTAAAAGTTGGCATCTAGCTGGCAAACCTAGTCTTCCCATCCTTACCCCTTAAAACTCCAAGCCCTGGGGAAGTTGATCTTTTACACACATATAGCCCATGTTACCCAGAAAGTTGAAAAGTTGTGTTTTTAAGAGGTAAGCATCCGGACCTGAGGTCAAGCAAGGCGGACCAGGGGACCCAACCGGAAAGTCTACCCTCCATCCATGTAGCAATGAGAAGGCGGCAAGCCGAATTTTCTGGCCGGGAGCCCGGATCATCTTCATCCACCCCGGGGTTTTGAAATTTCTGAAATAACAGAAATAACAGAAACAAATCTGAAATGTCTGGCTTACCCTATATTTCTGAATTAAAAGAAAAACACCTATGGTTGACCTTTTTGGGCCGTGACGAGAAATTGACCAAAACAGGAAAGCTGCATGGTCAAAAGCTTGGAGTTTGGTTTTGGGCAACTGGGTAATGTTGACCCCGGATGCAAAAAACCCTGATTATCAAGAAGGGGGTGTCCCTGGTTTAGTGAGGAATTGTCACTTTTGGAGGGGAACACCCCCAGATTAATAAACAGGGTTTTTGTAAATCCGCGGTCAACATCAGTTCCTTTCCCCAAAACGATCTGTGACTCGATGAAAAATTGCGTCCGGGCCTGTGCTGCCCAGTGCCAGGCTTGGCGCGCTCTCCGCCGTCGCCTGGCCCGACCTCAGCTTCGCTAAAAGCATCCGATGCGCGTTTTCGATGTCCAGCGGATTTACTTCAAGAACACCTGGATCCCCAGTTGCCTTTATTTTCTTGCCACTTGCGCCAAATTATGGGCTACTAGTGGGAAAAGTGGCTGGCAAAAAGTAACTACTTGGGGTTCCAGGTATGATCTACTCACTTCCCGCGTGAGTGGTGAACTGTTTGTTGGCCACTAACATTGCATTCCCCCAAAAAATGGTCCAACAAAAGTTGTTTGCTGGCCGCTAAAATTGTATCCCCTCCAACCAAAGTCGGAGTTCAAAGAGAACATGATCTACTTGAGGGGCCCATATTAATAAACTGAGCTTGATGAAGCGTGATGAAGCTGGGGTCAACATAAAGGTATAAACCTACTTCAGGAAAAAAAAAAAAGGAAATGCCTGACACATCTACGACTCCATCTATTTAAGGAAATCGGCTTCTCTTCTTTGAGCCGGGGTTTTTCCGGTTGCCACTTGCCCTTCTTGGGCCCATGCCTATGCCCAACGCCCCCAACCCAACGCCCCCTACCTCCGGGTCCCCGCGCGCCAGGCCCGTGCCCTCCAGCGGCTGCGAACACCCGCCCTCGGCGTGGCCGGCCACCGCGGCCCATGGAAAAGCCGAACCAAAAAGGCGCCAAAGCACCGCAGAATGCCCGGTGAATTTCTGAAGGACAGTAGATCCATGGAAAAGGCGGGGCTACCAAAGATAGATAGATAGATATATGTGTGTTTAGATGTCTATTCGTTTATCTAGTTGTTGATTGATTTATCTGTGATTTATCTATGTTTGTATACTTGGACAGTGACACTACCCGTGAAAATGAGATCCTCATGATGTTAAGTTTGAGTGCCCTGCAGGTATACATGTGTATGTATATATATATATATCTGTATGTATGTATGAACTATATATATACATACATATACGCATATGTGGTGGTTGTTCTAAATTCCTTTGTCTCGAAACGGCCATTCTTCGCGAATAAAAAAGTTACTTGCGCGAATCTTTCGCGGATTCATCGCCGTGCCCTTTTCCTTGCTCAAGTCAGGAAACAGCTTTTAAATGCCAGTGCAGTGCGCGAAATCCGATTCCCCAACTCCAGCTGTAAAGTCGCAACTTTCATCACAGTGGTAGTACATGACATGCACCGGCTGGCAAGACGCAGCTTTTCGTAAGCCGTGCAGCTCCAGCTTAAAGTCGCAACTTTCCAGAACAAACTGGTACACTGACTAGCGCGGCGCTCCAAAAGTATCCCCCATACAATCGAAGCCTGCGCTTTCGCGGATCTTTCGCGGAAGTTTCGCGAAAAATCACCCACGTTTCTGA